CGAGTTTCAGAGGAAAAAAAATTGTTAAACGTGTATTTCGGATGAAAAAATAAAAGTTTTCCATTTTCAATTTTATTTTGATTCTATTGTTGTCAATTTCAACTTCAGCAGGCCGGAGAACCAGAAAAATGAATTGGTCTGGCCTATAATAGGGGCATTTATAAGACACTGATATCAACTTTATACAAATTGAATGATAACTTTCGCCATTAAAGTTAGGGTGACCCATGTACTCACAGAAATACAGTCCACCGCTGATAGTTCGAGACTACCACTGAAGCCTGCACATTCGCCGTGCCGAGACCAACTTTCTGACAGTATGATACTATAAATAGCCATGGCACGTGCAATTCTCTACAAATCTATCAACTATTACAGCCGTAAAAAATTTATTGTTGACGATTTTGAATAGCAGTTAAATTAAGCTTCTTGGTTATTACAGCAGATTTAGAAATTACGTTCGTTTCATTTTTTAAATCGCTTTATCATTAACTGTACCGTTAAGAGCGGCATCTTTTGGTTTAGTACAAATAATATCTCTGAATCACTCGGGTTAGGCAGGAACATGATACTAGCAGTAGTTTCATTTTACTTTTACAAGCTTCTTAAAACGATTGTTGAGCTACCTAACGTGCTTATTTCTAAATTCAATTTCTTGTTCTAGCTTTCTGTTACGTTTCGTAAAAAATTAGTCTTGATTATCCCGACCTGTCAATCAGACGTAGAATGGTCGGTAGACTGGTTAAGCGAGACTAATTTCAAAACACGGGCACGTAACCTATCTTTTACTCAAAAGTGTCTGGATGTTATGGACGACTCTCGGAACCAGTTTTCAGTCTATTATTTATACATGATTAATGGTCATAGCTTATTAAATACAACATGATCGTTTATTTAGTGACTATAATTGTGTGAAACTGATTTGAGGCTTGGCATATATATAAATATTGTGGCGTAATTGTCGAGATATATGGAGATATTTATTTATGGTGGGTCACCCTATTAAAGTGTTCACAAGGTTCAACAAAGTGCAACAAGGGCCATAACTATAGAAGTTAATGAAGGCAGACCACCATTAAATTTCACCATTTCGGTACCCACAAATTATAGCAATTCTCTCTCTGTCTCTTTTCTCCCCTTTTGCATGCCCATTTTTGTTGATTTTTTGGTCTAGAATGGATGAAGATGGTTTGAATTAACATTTTCTGCCAGGTTTTGGCAAATATTCATGATTTTGAGGCGGAAGGATAATGGGGTTATCAGGTTGGCTACAGTGACATGTACGGCAACTAGTTACATGTTTTTTTGTATGTTTCTTCAAGTTTGTGTATCTCAAAATTTTGGTGGTCAACCTCATACAAATTTTAGTGCAAAGACATGACCATTCAGCCCAACGAAAATTTTGGGAAAAGTTGGAGGTGTTCAAAGAGGCAAGAATTAACATTGAAGTCAATGGGGAAATTAATGGTGGTCTGCCTCCTAATAACAGAAATTGCTGAAAATCAAAAAGCTTCTTAATTGTACTAATTGAAATAATGCACCTCAATTTCGTACAGATCGGATGATAAATTTTGTTGATACGAGCGTTCACAAGGTTCTACAAAGTGAAACAAGGACCATAACTATATTAACTATATTTACATAATGTGCATAACAAACTGTGTAAGACTAATAACAATTTAACTTTTTTATTAAGGTGTCGTGATAAAAACATTATTCCCAAAGGGTTGAGTATCGTTTCTCCTATTCAGTCAACAACAGCTTATAAGATACTAAGAAAAGCTAGTAGGAAATTGGTCTTAGAAAGAATAACATATAACCGAAAGCATAAGCAACAACTGATTGTTACAGTAGATGACAACTAGAACAGATCCTACAACATAACCACTTGGATACCTTTTTGTCTATGCAAGAAAAAGCAGATACGAAACAGAATAACCAAATTGAAAGCCGCCACCTAAATAAATTTAATAGATTATGTTTATTCAGAAGTGCAGAGAATAGTAAAAAGCCAGATGATAAATACATCAAAGAACATATCAAGAAAACAGTAGTAAATTTATCTTCTACCAACCTAACAGAAGCACAAACCTCGCTACTAGCAAAAGGATTAAAGTTTATACCAACTACACCAATAGTACCTAAAGAATCCTTTATAACTCAGATAGAACAAGAACTACAAAAGCTTGCCCCAGGTGGTAATATTGATTTTACAAGACACCAAATTAGAAAATTACTTGAGAAACCCATCAACCAAAAACCAAACCTAACTAAAAATGAAAGTAAGGCCATCAAAGAATTAAAACAAAATAAAGAAATATCTATTTTACCAGCAGATAAAGGGAAAGCCTTCGTTATTATGGATACAGATCAGTTAGAAGAAATGGTGAACCAAACCCTGTCAGATTCAACAACCTATAACAAGTTACCAAAAGATCCAACCCAGAAACTAGACAGAAAACTTAAAGCCACCTTAAAAATACTCAAAGAATCAGGTGAGATCGATACTGAGACCATAGGCGTAGGAGCTCAAAGTAATTCAGGGGGGCATAAGAGAAAATTGCCCGAAATCAATACCGTTTTTTCGGGCATACATATCATAAGAGAGCTTCGGGCATATTTTCGGGCATGCAGTGGACAAGAAAAAGACGAGAAAATACTTTTCGGGCAGTGTGGATCTCATAGAAATAAGTTAGTTATATTTTTTCTCTAAACGTTAATAGAAAAAAAAGGTCGTCAAATTTTTCATTGCCCGAAAATAAATTTTTGGGGGGGCCTGTCCCCCCGGCTCCTACGCCTATGACTGAGACATATGATAAACTCAATATCTCGCACCCAACAACACCATATGCCAAAGCTCAAGTTAAAATACACAAGAACCCGGTCAAAGTAAGATTACTTATCTGCTCAAGAGGAACTGTATTCTACAACACGGCCAGATACCTGTCAAATGTACTATCTGACTTAGGTAAGTCGGCAGAATCATATATTAAAGATAGCAAGGAACTTCGGGAAAAAATAGAGAGACAACCCCAACTAGGCAAACTTATCAGTTATGATGTTGTGGACTTATTTACCAGTATACCAATCGATGAAGCCTTGAATTGTGTTCGGGAAAAAATTCAAAATCAAACAACCAACCTCAACACCAGAATAAGTACGGACAGTATAATGAAGTTGTTACAATTGTGTATTAAATCCACATATTTCACATGGAAAGATGAAATATTTGAACAAATCCATGGGTTACCAATGGGGTCACCAATAAGTCCGGTTATCACTGAAATCTATATGACAGCTTTCGAAGAAAATGCCCTAATAACATCCCCAATCCAACCTAGCATTTTGCTTAGAAAAGTGGACAATGTGTTGGCTGTAATGAAGGAAGAGGAAGATCACCAACTACTACTCCACCACTTCAACTCCATACATCCAAGAATACAATTTACAGTTGAAGAAGAAAATAATAAACAGCTACCCTTTTTAGATATCCTAATTGACAGAAATGATGATAAAGTAACGACAAGAGTGTATAGAAAACCGACGCATACTGATCAATATATTAACTTCGCATCTGCCCACCCAACAACAACCAAGGCGGGAATAGTGTCAATTCTGACCAGAAGAGCTCACAATATTTGCACCGATGATAAAATTGAAGAAGAAATAAAACACATCACTGAAACCCTAACCCAATACAACAACTACCCATTAGAATTTGTGAAAAAAGTTATTAACAGTACAACTGAAAAACTAAATAAAGCCCCCGACGTGACCGGTAAAGAAAAAGCTCCTATCCATATCAACATTCCATTCATAGGCCCAACAAGTCATAAGATTAAAAGATTACTAACCAGATTGCAAATAGATGTAACATTTAGTGGAGGAGTACCCTTAAAATCACTGATCAACGCCAATGGGAGAACAAAAATACCAAATGTGGACCCGAAAGGCATAGTGTACCAGATCCTATGCAATTGCAAATCGATGTACATAGGGGAAACGTGCCGCCCGTTATCAGTGAGACTTAAAGAACATAAAGCAGCAACTAGATGTTTGGAACCCAATAAATCTGCAGTAGCCGAACACATCATAGAAAATCCTACCCATACCATAGAATGGGAGAACACCAATGTGCTGACAAAGAACATTAAAGTATGGAAAAGGAGTCTTATGGGAAGCCTTAGAAATCCAAAGACACAAACCTAAAATGAATAAAGATAATGGTCGAGCAATATCAAATGTATGGAATGACTTATTAATGTAATGGAGGAAGATTGGGAACCACCCTTACTAATAGTCTATAGTTAACAATATATTTCATTAATTAATAGTTACATGGTTAAGAAAATGCTAAAAGATTAAACATAGGTTGTTTTTGTAGTTTATACATAGGGAAATGGTTTGAGTGTTAAGTTATAAGATTATGATTATAAGGAAGGAGGAGAGAGTAATCACCCTTATTGATTATGCTTATACACATTAGTTAAATTACCATATTATTAGAAGACATACTCAAAGACACTAATAATTTATTGATGTTTTGATAATATTAAAGGGGTATTGATAGTATGATCATTAAGCCTTGGTGGTGGCTTCAGTACCTGTGTTATCTGTTAATAAGAGAGATCGTGAAGTCATTTTCAAAGGGAAATGTTGTTATAACTATTAATTGATGTTATGTTTTTATTGTCTTACTCATGAATGTACTATAAATGTAGGTTGTTATTCATTATTGATCATTGCTTGACCTGTAAGTGTATTGAAACGTTGCATGTAATAAACCAAGAAGTAGTAAATCCATAAAGTTGTGTTATTATGAATATATTTACCTTGCTGAAGAACACATAAACACCATTTTAAGATTACAAAATACAACAAAGGTCAATATGGCTGTGCAAATACAAAAAATTGTTGAACAAAAATCAAATCAAAATAAATGGACATTAAATTATAAGTTTGTGCGGATACAATATTAAGAGTTTTCTGCCTTGACTTACACTTGTTGAACAGCTAATGCTCGACGTGAAGCTACCGGAGATCCCTCACTTATATTTCCCAGTGAAAGTCTTAAAATCCAATATTAAATAGAAGATAAAATTGATATAACTGACAAAGATTATAAAAAATAGCAAGACCAAGTGTGGAAGACGCCCACACAGCAGCTTTGTCTCAACTGCAGCTTATCTGAAAGGAAAATTTGGATGTTGAGCAAATTTGACAACGTTTTTGACAAAAGGGGGATAACTCTGAAAAGGTATATTGCAGAATGCTGAATATCGATAGTTTTCGTCCTCCATGACCCCAATGCTTCAAATCAAATTTGAAAAGATATGTTGCCAGCCAACAAAACATACGCCTACAGCAGCTAAATTATCCGAGCGGTCCACAAGGGTTGTCGCATATTTATTCTTTTGTAGGTAATTGGGTGCATTTACAGGACAATTTCATACAGATCAGATTATAATTCTACAAACGAACAATGGCCTTAACTAGGACTGCAACGATAGGCCTGGCAACGATAGGCCAGGCAATGATACGATGCGCATTACGATTCATAGCCTATGATACGATTAATATCGCGATATAGGAAATAAATTTACAAAATGCTGTTAAATTTTGAAAGTCTTTCACTGTGAAAATTCGAAGACCTACTTTTATGATTTACTTTAAATGTGGTGTTTTCTCGGTCAACTGAACGGATTTCATTGTTGTCATGTTTATAGACCGGGAGCCCAGGAGGTTAGCCTAGCTGAAAAGTGTACCAATTTTCACATATATGGTATCAAAGCATTCATATCTGGTATCATTAGAAAGTAAGTCTGCCGATTATCTGGTGGTGGGTGTGGCTGTGAGGGCTGGGATTCTGGGCATGAATTCTTGGGCTAGATTAGCTCAAAAGTGTACCACATGAAAATGGTACAGCAGTGTACCTTACATCTTCAAGTATTACAAAAACATTTTGACAGACATTTCTAGTGGTGGGGTACCCCCAACAGAGTTATGTAATTGCCAGACCACAGCTAGGCTAGATTAGCTGAAATCTGTACCACTTAAAACTGCTTTTGAGTTGTTCAGCACCACCACAGGAATCATGAATGATCACTGCCAGACAGTTTACCCCTAAAAGAACAGACACACCCAATATGCCACGCCTGCCAGCTAAGTTAGATTAGCTTAAATCCGTACCGCCTAAAACTGCTTGGAAGTCGTTCAGCACCACAGGAATCATGAATGATCACTGCCAGACAGTTTGTGCGGCGGGCTACCCCTAATGCACATGCCCAAAATGCCAGCCCTGCCCCCCTCCCCACCTAGGCTAGATTAGCTGAAGCCTCTACCACCTAAAACTGCTTGGAAGTTGTTCAGCACCACAGGAATCATGAATGATCACTGCCAGGCAGTTTGTGCGGTGGGTTACCCCTAACACTAACAGACACTCCAAAAATGCCACGCCCCCAACTAGGCTAGTCTAGCTGAAGCCCGTACTACCTAAAACTGCTTGAAAGTTGTTCAGCACCACCACAGGAACCAAGAATGACCACTACAAGACAGTTTGTTCGGTGAGGTACCAATGACAAAAAGCCCAAAATGTCACACCCCGCAACAAGGCTACATAAGCTGAAGGATGATGTCGCCCTGGGTAAATTTTAATATTCAAGATGGCCGTCATGAGACATTTTCTGGTTATTTACTTTAATTTAGTGGGGTAAAATTCGGGAGAGATTCTCTCCAACCTTGGTATGAAGGTAGTTTCTATAAGAATTTGACCCATTGAATCCGACGAGCTTAGGTGTTCCTCCTAAAAGTGACTGCTAATTCCACTAGGAAGCCAAATTCACAATGGGGGCTCATTTTTGAAGGAAACTCATAATGTTCCCTAAAATGGCGTGTAATATATTGAAATATAGGTTTTCGTTGTCAATTACTTCATAAACATAAAAAACATGTTTCGACCAAAAGTTATTCCAATCCGACGATATTCTTTCCCTTGTATTCTTATAAGGACACAAATTATACACGGTCAAACAGAATCAACCATCAGGCCATCGTGATTCGAAAGCAAATGTTTATAAAAGCGAACTGGGGCTTGTCCAACCTCATGTAAAATTCTAACTTACGCTCGCTTGAATCACTTGAATACTCGCAATCAGTATAACAGTCTGATACTTCCGCTTTCATCAGTATCATGCAACGGGGGTGAACCTTGTCTTGACAGTTATTAGGTCACTCATACGCGTCGGTAACGCTGAGGTTGGCAAACATTTTCCATCCCTTCTTCCCCTCTGTTTTTTTTGGTAGAGAGGGTGACTGTGACTGGTGTCATAGTGGATCATAATGTATGCTTGACAATTCGCTCTATGAATTCGGCGAATCAGAAAACCTATAGTTTAAAACATTACTAACATCGTTGTCTCACCAAAATTGGCCGCCATTTTGAATATGACCTCAACCTGGAATACCCTTTGGTCGGAACATGTTTTTATGTTTATCTGAAGTAACTGACACAAAAACCTATATTTTAATATACTGCACACCTTTGTTAGGGGACTATATGGGTTTCCCTCCAAAATAAGTCTCCATTTAGAATTTGGCCCCCTAGGGGAATTAGCCATCACTTTTAGGAGGAATACCAAAATTTATTGGATTCAGCAGGTCAAATTACGATAGAAACCAGCTTCATACTGAGGTCCGAGAGAATCTGTCCCGACTTTTACCCCACTAAATTAAAGTAAATAACCAGAAAATGTCTCATGTCGGCCATCTTGAATATTTAAATTTTCCGAAGGGTGCCAGGGTGGCATTACCCAGATTCTGAATCTACACATATTAAAGACATATAATCCACTCAAAACTTACATTTCAATATATTGCACATCTTTTAGTGAACTTTATGAGTTTCCCTCTAAAATGGGCCTCCATTTTGAATTGGGCCCTCTAGCGAAATTAGCCATCACTTTCAGGAGGAATACCCTAGCTCATTGGATTCAGCGGGTCGAATTCTTCTAGAAACATATTCAAACCGAGGTCCGAGAGCAGCTGTCATATATTTTACCCCACTAATTAACCAGAAACCGCCTCATGTCGGCCATGTTGAATATATAAAATTTCCCCAATTCTGAATCAACACATATAGAAGATATATAATCCACCAGTAACCATTAGGTGGATTATATTTCCATGTCAAGGCTTAAAATGGGGTTTGGCAACCGGACTTTATGGTTCGTAAGTCAGCGGTCACTGAGTTGAACCACTACTTATTATTCTTCATACGATTACTTAATCTTTAATAGATATTACATACTCATGAAAATATGTAATACCCAGAATTCTTAATAAGTCTGACCTAGCTGATAAAGCCAAATTTTTGGGAGGGGGCGCTTGGCTGTCGTGTCTTATGGGAGAACCCTACCAAACAAACTCTCTAGCAATGGGCAGTGTGATCCCTGGGGTGTTGAACAATTTCCAAGCAGTTTTAAGTGGTACACACTTCAGCTACTCTAGCCTAATTGCGAGGCGTGTCATTTTTGGCGTGTCTATTAGGGGTAAACCACCGTACAATCGGTTTGGCAGTGATCATTCATGATTCCTGTGGTGGTGCTGAACAACACCAAAGCAGTTATAAGTGGTACATATTTCAGCTAATCTAGCCTAGTTGCGGGACGGGGCATTTTGGGCGTTTCTTTCAGGAGTACCCCACTGCAATATCTGTCTGGCAGTGGTAATTCATGATCCCTGTGATGGTGCTGAACAACTTCCAGGCACTTTTAGGTGGTACGGACTTCAGATAATCTAACCTAGTTGTGGGGGGGGGGGTATTTTCGTCGTGTCTATCAGGGTAACCCACCGCACAAATTGTCTGGCAGTGATCATTCTTGGTTCCTGTGGTGGTGCTGAACAACTTCCAAGCAGTTTTGAGTGGTACAAATTTGAGCTAATCTAGCCTAGCTGTGGTCTGGCAATTACAACACTGTCGGGGGTACCCCACCACTAGAAATGTCTGTCAAGAGTGTTTTTTTAATACTTGAAGGTGTAAGGTACACTGCTGTACCATTTTCATGTGGTACACTTTTGAGCTAATCTAGCTCAAGAATTCATACCCAGAATCGCAGCCCTCACAGCCACACCCACCACCAGTTCCCTGGCAGACTTACATTCTGATGATACCAGATATGCATGCATTAATACCATATAGGTGAAAATTGGTACACTTTTCAGCTAGATTGACCCCCTGGGCTCCTGCTCTATTAACGGGAAATCCTAAAAACTTCCATACTTTACTTGTGACTTATATACTTGGTATGGGGGATTTCGATCACACTACTGCTTCTGTTGATCGTGTGACTTGAATTTGGTGAATTCATTATGATAACATTTCAGCTAGCTGGCTTGCTCGTATTGGCACAGCAATTTCAGCCAATGAAAAACTATCTCGTTGTCAGGTCAGTCATAGATTACAGAACAGCAAAGAAAATAATGTTACGAAGATTTTAATAACAAATATTAATATACATTGAAAATTTGTGCTGATCAATGTATACAGTATGTACAAATCGCCATTCTTATACAGTAATATTATCACAAATCGCATATTACTGACGTATATATATATATTAATATGTTGTATGTTTTTTTCCGCATATTATTCAAGTGTGTAATTTGAAAGCAACTTAATTTCCAGCACGACTTGCTTAACCAGACTGATATTTTAATCTTGACGAAATAGCTATAATAAGCCACTTCATGTGTCGAAAACGCCTTAACCGGTCATTGTCGACTATAATCACCACAACGTCATACAGCTAAGTGGTCACTGTCGACTAAAGTCGACCACAGCAAGAAAAATTTTTACAAGCCGCATTTGAGTATTTAGTTTTGTTTTTAATTGATATGACCACGCATGTGTGTCAGACAGGAACTTGTCTTGTCAAGGCATTGAGAAAAACATGTCTTTGTTCAACATTTTTTGACGAAAAACCTAATTTAACGATGTCGGGAACATTAAAGATGCTCGAAGTGGTTGAAATACTTATAAATTATTCCGACTCGGATTATATCGATGACACCA